ACATTTCGTGGGCCAGTTGCACATACTGAAACCGAAGGACATGAAAAAAAAAACTGTAGGTTATTCATTTCTTGTAAAAATGCACTCTCAGTAACTTAATTTAATTAAGTTAATTAATTTAATCCATCTATCTATCTATCTATCTATCTATCTATCTATCTATCTATCTATCTATCTATCTATCTATCTATCTATCTATCTATCTATCTATCTATCTATCTATCTATCTATATTTATTAAATCTGATATTTATGCATTCTCTAAAAAAGGGTCTTTTTAAATGCATCCTTTAACTACTCATTTAACTACTGAGTACTTACTATTTAATATTAATTAACTACATGTACTTTCTATGTGCATTGAACACGGCGCGTACATGACAGTTTAAAGTATCACACACCAGATGCATACATTCGAATGATATTTAACATGAAACTAATCAGATGGCGCTCTGTGGCGCGGCTGAAAAATGAACCGCGTCCTGAGCCGTCGCCGGGCGTCGCCGACAGCCGCCGACTTGCGGCGTCGGTGTGTGTATCCTGATAGAAACCTATGTTTAGAATTCCAAAATACATGGTGCTGCGTGGCGCTGCGTGGCGCTGTGTGGCGCTGCATGGCGTTGCGTGGTGCGGCACGCCGCCGGGCGGCACTTCTGGTGTGCGACCTGCTTTATACTCAGATCTTGAAAGTTTTAAAAGGGGGGTTTGTTAACAATTTTAAATAAAAAAAAATATTATTGATGTTATAAGAAAATCTCACAGAACATTATCAAATAAATTAATCCGCGATCCCTTAAACATTTAGATTAGATGCTAACATCATCAATATGGTGGTAATGTTGAGGCAAACAGTGTTGACTTTCTACAAAAATCATATAATGAAATCCTTAGTTTGCATTAAATAAGATGTTCACTAGTTAACATTTTGTTTTTCATCCATTCAACAATTTAGTTTTACTCAGAAAGGCACACTATACAGAATACACACAAGCGAACAACTAAAGTACCCCCCCGCCCCCAAATTGGTCTCTATTAATCTATTGTCTTTATCCACAATCCATATAATTTATCTCTGTTAATTTAATATTCTAACTTGCTGAATTAGTTTATCTTTTTAAAGGTTATTTGGGTTTTGTTTTATTTCTTTTTTAAATCAAAGTACACACTAAGAAATGTCTCAAAACAGAGCCCAATGTGTCATGTAAATATGAAGGAGTTTTCTGTATTATAATTATTATTATTATTATTAATAGTAGTAGTATTATTAATATTTAGAATAAAAAAAAGTTATGAAATTGTCTTTAAATTTAACAGAAACTGGCCTTGTTTTCCCCCAAAACCCTTTTTTTTAAAGTTTTTTTTTATTTTCTTTTACTAGTTTGATTATCCTTTGCAGTAGATTTATAATATCCAACATTTTATCAATCATTTAAATCAGTAAGAATTTCGAAAAAATTTTTTTTATGTAGTTGAGAAAAATAATCAAAACTACAGATTTGTTGTAAAATAAAATAATGAGAATTATATAATAACAAAGAAACAATCTTTAAATAAAATAAAATAAAATAAAATAAAATAAAATAAAATAAAATAAAATAAAATAAAAATAAAAGGTGAAGACTGGACAAAGTCTGAAGGAGGAACAGAGAGACGACAGCCAATCTTCTGGCTGAAAAAAAAAAGAATGAAGATAAAACCATGTATTCAGTCTAACAGAATCAAACTCTTGAAATAGGTAAATCACTGAAAAGTGGCACTTCAGAGTTTGACCTTAACCCAACCAACCTCAAAACCAACCAAAACCTTTGATGTCTGCCTCCACCGATGGAGATTTGCACTAATAGGATAAGCATTTAAGCAGCAAAGCAAAGCTGCGGATGGAAGTATAGCTCTCAATAAGAGGCACGGCAGACAGTGATGCATTACTGTACAAAAGAATTTATTGTAAGCATTAAAATCTCTAAGCAGCTCTGCTCAAAACACAGAGGATATTATCTCTAATTTAGAAACAAAAGAGAGCTTTACGTCAAACACAACATGAAAGGAGGGAAATTAAAAAAAGACATGTTGAATCAGTCTGATATTACACAGGCAACTCACAACTTTAAAGAATCCAACTAAAAGGTCTTGTCTGGGGATTTCATTAAAGACCCTGCTAGTCGGCTAAAAGAAAAGTGGCCTATGTTCCAGTTTTAATCCTCCAGAGATCCACACCGCCAAGCAGACAGAAGATACTAAGTTTACCAGGGTTGTGCACCATTCAGAATTGAACTGAGGATGGCTTGCAAATTCCAATTCAATTCCTGAATTTGAATTGAGGTAGCAAAGAGGATAAAGAATTAAAAATGAGTGAAATTCACTTTAGAGCTTTCATTTACTGCATTTTCTGAAATACCCTTTTTCCAGTATAAATGTTGCAAGAGAGTTGAAAATGTAATGGACATTTTTTAATACATACACAGTATATACACACAGAGGAATGTCCAATTGTATATTATATTATATTATATTATATTATATTATATTATATTATATTATATTATATTATATTATATTATATTATATTATATTATATTATATTATTTTATATTATATTATATATACATATCCTCACATTATTCATTTCTTTAGGCATTTACTGCATAGATACTTCACATGAAGTAAATTACTATGTTTAATATATTGGATATAGTCTGAATATTTTATTATCATTATTATTTGAAGAAAGCACTTGTTAAAGGAAAAGAAGCACCAAATATGACTTGTTATTTATCACATAATAATTATGACAATAGAAACTGACATGAGAAATTTTTTACGCCTCACTTGCAGGTAACACTATAATCAATGACTGTGTACAATAATGAACACAGCAACTGTATTAAAGCACTTTTAATGAAGCATTCACTGATATATATTGACCAATAATCGGTTTAAAAACAGATGATTATCAAGGCCGATAATATACTGTCAATCTAAACATGGTGGAAAAATGCAGCAAGTTTCAAAAGAAATAAATCCTTGTGTACATTTGGGTGGCAAAGATGACGAGACATCTATTGTTACAATTTAACAAAGACACCTTAACATAAAGTCTAACAATGAATGCTGTCTACAATGTCTGCACTGCAAAAATTTTACATTTACCACAATATATTTGTTCTTGATTAGTTAAAATGTGTCTAAAAAAAGTATTTTGTCAATTGAAAACATGAATGAATACAAATTGATTAGTTAAAAATCTGTTTAATTTAAGCAGCGCATCTTCTGTTTATGACTGAAATCAGTTACTTTAAAAAAAAGCTTGGTAATAAATTTAGTTATTCAGATTTCTTTAAAATTATGTAATTGCTTAAAAATATTTAATGTATAAAAGGCAGAACCACCAAATAACTGGTCTCAGCAGATCTTAATAATTAACTATTATTGGCTGAGAAATTTAGTTTCGGTGCATCTCTAATGAAAATATTCAAATTTTAAAAACAATTGATAACTACATTAGCAATTCAAAACAGCAAATCTGCAGTTATACTGTGTAAAAAGTGATTAGTAACTTAGAGCGATTAAAGCAATTGCCTTAAAAGCAACAAGTTGACTTTACTTAAAAATAATGATAGTAAACCTAGTTGAAAGTTGAAACTGTTAAGTTGACCTAAAATTTTGCAATATGCAATTTGACTCACCTTAAAAAAAAACAGTTAGCTAATGGAGTAAAAAGCAATTCCATTAAATAACCGTATGATATTATGTTATTAATTGTTGATATTAATGGGTAATAACACAACATGGAATGCTGCAACCAACCAATCAGAATTAAGCATTCCAGAAAGCAGTGTAATAATGGTTCATTATGTTTATTAACATTTTTTTATATTCACTATATTAATGTTGTGTTTGGCTTTTGTTCAAATCTTCTTTGCTCTCATTTGTCCGTAACTGTTACTTACCATGGCAATTCATTGGTTCCGCACACCTGTTCCTATTCAGTTAATAATCCCTTGCATTTAACACTATGTTTAGGTTCTCCTGGAAAGTTCGCACTTAAGAGTTAACATAATTATGAAATCAAGTATCACAAGATAGCGGTGTAACTTATTTTAATAAATTACAATCAATTACAGCAGGGTTTGCTAACTTCGCTTATGGGAAATAAAGAGTAAATAGTTTGCATCAGGTGTGTTTTTAATTTAAGCCACATTAAGCTAAACTGCACAAAAACATATTAATTGTTACATTACAATCCTGTCACATTCAAAGTTATTTATTTTTATTTTTTCCACGACGAGCCTGATAGATCTTGCATTTTTCGATTCCACCATGTTTCTCAATGACACAACACAGAAACTCAGGGCTTAAAGAAATGTTTTCCACTTACATTAACAACTTTGTGAAGTACATTTAATTTGTAAATATAATTTAACTGACATGACTAGATCACACCATAAGTCTCTCAGTTTCTTCAGTATGTATATAATCTGGTTTAGTTGATATTTGTTGATTAATTAATTGTTGATTAATTCATTTGAGTTGGTGCAACATTTCTCCTGCGATCTCCTGTTTCTTTTTAGATTTACTATAAAAGAATATTTTGAAACTACTTTCGTCATGTGTCTATATGGACACATAACTGTTCACAGATTTCATTGTATTTAATTTATGTTTGAGAAAAAGCTCTAATGGGTAATAAATTGGAATAGTTGATAAAGAATTACTGATATTTCATCACAAACGTGCTGTTAGACTACTGGAAATCCTCTGTTGTGTCACTGTGTACTTGTATTTCCAGCCATGTTCTTCAATTCTGAATTTTGCCCAAGCCTGAGTCAAATATATATGATAATTGGCCAGTTTCATATCCAATTCAGTTGGCCATATGCATTATTTTTGGCTGAATACAATGCTGTTGAGTAAATATTGTACAAATGAGTTAGTTTTTTGTATATAATCTGACATTTTCTTGTGCAATTTTGCCATTTTTAATATACTTAGGTAGCCAAAATTGCAGAAAATCAGTCGATGACAACTTTTAATAGGAATGCATGTGCTTAACCATTCATGTTCATGTAAAAAAAAAGAAGAAAAAAAGATAGAGATAAAACAATTGAAACCTTATAATTGGTCTCCATGACAAGCATCCATTCAGAACCCCACAACGATAGCACGTCTCAGCACTGCATTGACTGCACTGACCTCCCTCCAGTCAATCAATGAATTATACATGAAAATATCGACACACTGATTATTTTTTCCACTCAAACAAACATACCATATTCAAGGACAAACCCTCCAAAATAGGAGAGCCAACGGTAACACCAGGAGAATGCAAATGATCCAGGACACCAGTGGGTGAAACCATCACTGGTTCAAGCACGACTTAAAGACTCCCCCTTCTGATGCCCGTGGAGTGGCGTCGCTTGACCAAACAATATGCGTCATATTCTGTACAAGACATCAAATTCAGTCATCGCTCCCCTTTATGGCTTTAGAGAGAGAAAAGGCTACATGAATGTTTCTCTTCTTTGTCCTCCTCGTCCTCTTCCAATCATAGCACTGATTGTCACGTCGTTGTGCTTAATCTAAATTGTGTTTTTATATATACCAAAGAGCAATCTCTGTGTACCGCCGTCCGCTCTTCAAAACAAATTCGATATTCTTAGGACTCGGAAAAAGGTCAAACTTCAGAATGACTTGGAAGAAGGAAATGACTTTCATGCAAAATACGAGGGGGAAACTGAATGTAAATCATCTGTCGCTGCTGACGCCACCATGCAATTTCCGATGTTGATTCCTTCGGGTTTTTATCTGTCATTTCTTGCATCCTGGATTGCGAGGGCCTTCAAAAATAGCAGGGAAATTAAAGCTCATTTTCATTGTCTGAAATAGTTTTTTGATTTGTATTTTTTTTAACGCTTAAATCTCCCTATGCCGCTGGCCATGAGTTTCCATGCTAATTGAACGCTCCATGCTAAATGTTGCACTATCCATCGGGAGCTTTCCGCAGCCATTGGTAAAACTGTTCCTGGAACAGGATGTGCCATTTTACATTGGCTTGAACGATCTCGACGGCTCGAGCGAACGCAGGGGCTGACTCTCCTCCGCTGGTCAGGATGAACTCTTTCAGCTGAAGAGAAGATAAACAATTCTCATTAACATTATCATATGTATCAGAGATTGTGTGTTTATGTTTGTAAGTGGCACCTTCGGCTCTGACTGATAAACAGCGTCAGAATATACGACGCATTTTCATGCAAATGCCTGATGTGTAATTTAGCAGATAACAATGATGTTTATGATAATGAGGTGTGGGAATGCATTGAAGTAAACAGAATTATCGGTGTTGTTGATTGTCTGGAAAGAAAGGGCATTTGGGTGTCTGTGAAAAAAAAAACCTATAACACAGATTAAAGACATAAAAAAACTCATCAAAATCTCTATTTCCAAAATCGCCACCTTGAAACTATAAGGTGCTGTCTGCATTCTGAAAGATTTGAGATATTCAGCTTTAAAGTTTTTCTATTTAATGAGGGAAATAAAAATGTAAGGGAACAAGTATACAAAAAAAGACAGAGATACTTAATGCATTGTAAATGTGCAGTATTAAAATACTCTCAAATGTAAACATAGGGATTTTTAGAGCACTTTAGGTCATTCTTAAAATTAAAATCACTTTCCACTTAGAATTATAAGGTAAAAAGAATGACAAGGTTATATATTGCAAGTCTTGTAACAATGTGTTTCTATGACTACTTAGTTCATATATCAGTATACTGTAAATCATTTTTTTCTTGTTTAAGTTAAGAATAAAAGGCAAAACTAAACATTTTTGTTCACAGCAGGTGGGAATTTTATAGTTAAGTTGAAAAATTTTAATAAATGTCAGACATTTTAAGCCTTTAAAAACTGCAGGAAAACAGACAATGATTCAGTTAAGTATTTCACATTGAAGACTTATACTAACTACACTGTAAAAAATGAATTAGCAGTTTTCATATTTTGTGTTTTCCGTTTATTTACGGTTGTGAATTGCATTATGGAACCTTGACCTCTGCTCTGTCAACTTCTGATGCTGAAAATTGAAATTTCTCTAAAAATTATTACATTCTTCCAAGCATTTACTATTTTCTCCCAAAACTTTTCTGTATTGGCGAATTATATTTGATCATTTTTTCATACAAGACAAATTTCTAAAAAAAATTTCAGCAGAAATAATATTTCCATTCTCTTGCAAAACTATCGCTGGGTTCACTTGGGAAAGTGCTTAAATACATTTTTTTCTTAAATATAGTTCTTTGAGGTACATTAAAAATGTATAATTTTCCTTTCAACTTGTATTATATTGCTTTTAACCATCACCATGTCCCACAGAGTTTAACAAAGGGACTTTTATAGACATTTAAGTAGTTTGAGACAAGATAAGAAATAATATACAGAGAAGCAAGTTTGTAAAATAACAGAGAATGTACTGGCTGCTTATTATCAGGTTCTTGCAGCATAATATAAAACACCAACCCAGACAATATATCACTTTAAACTATTAAAAATGTTCATAAAAGTCACTTTTAAAATTTTTCAAGGTTTAAAGTTGTTGGATAAAATCTTAAGGTCCCATAATGCAATTCAAACGCCTAAATACGTGAAATACAAAAACACGAATCGCAAAATAAAAAAAAATCATTTTAACTACTCAATTTACAGATATTTTTTACAGCGTGTATATAATTAAACATATCACATAAATTCATACTATATGAAGAGCTTATTTGCAACAACGGATACCTAAAATCTTTCAAAACATTTTCAGAAATCAAAATTTTTATAACTGTACTCTTTTAAAACAAAGCATGCAAAACATGATATTTGAAAATTATTTAAATTAGAGTTATCTGTTCTTACAAATTAACTCTTTATTAACACACACCGATATGTACCATTATTTTAAAGAATGAATTTTATGTAATTTCATAAAATGAATGACACTTTCATTACTTTTTTTAAAGGGTGAGATGTAAATGAGCTCTGCATTAAAAGATGTCGATCATATCAATAGTGTTGCATGTTTTGGTTCACATTCTTACATTAAAATTAATTCTATTAATTTAATGACCAAACATTATAATACACTCTATCTGCTAATGCATTTAGATTTATAAAACATGTATTTAAACATAGACTTCATAGCTCTAATCTTAAGTTCTACTGGGTGCAGTGGAGATGCTTCCTGGCTTAAAAGTAATCAAGGAATTTGCAGATTAAATCTTTTTGATTTCTAATAAATGTTTTTTAAATGAAAATGTAGCATGTAAGCAATGTAAAATGTAAGAGAACATAAACAGAAATTATAAGCAAGTTGTCACAGAATTTTGACAAAAACATGACAGACTCTTATGATTCTAAAATGAAAAAATTAATGTTATGAATAAGGTTCACAGTTCATCATGTCATGAGGTATATATTATTAAATACGCTTACACCAAGCTTTTTTATTATTATTAATATTTCAGAAATGCAGGTTGCTCATAAGATCTTAAAAAAAAAAAAAAAAACATGCAAATCCCGAAGCTGATTATAGTGAATCTGTGGATGAAGTGCTCTGGCAGCAGCTGATTGTCAATGACAGTATGCTAATGCGCTGCTTAAGAAAACAGTGAGGGGGTTCGTATTATCTTTGTATGAATGATAAATTGTGGAAGGCAAAGTCAGCCGGATGAGAAAGTGCTGCAGTGAGAAGCATCAGCAGTCTGTTTCCTCTGGGACTGAAGCTGAATGAATTTGAATAAGTGAATATTTGTTCCATTTCCTCTAATAAGGTTAAGAAGTTACAACGAGGAAATAACCCAACTTAACAGTCCAGGTCACATTTCTGCAGTCATCAAACTGTACTTTTGCTCATTTTCTCAACTTCAGCAATCTGCTGACTAAAGTTTTCTATAACTATTAATATCCCATGAAGATTTGTCAATAGCTCATTAGTGTTTTTAGTTAATTTGCCTCAGGATAGAGTATAAATCCAGACTCACCTCATTCAATTCGGCCTCAGTATTGAGAAACTCTGTCACGCCGCTGATTAATTTTGAGTTCATAAATAAAGCTTCTCCATACCTGCAATTGAGAGACGCAAGTCTTTTATTAAAAACAGCTGAGAACATTTTAATCAGCCAAACAGTAAACAAACACCAATAGATGCATTCTGGTCCTTCAAACGCTAACAACCAGAAACATTCACCAATATATATCTTATGAGAGTGTGGATGTAAAATTCATATCAGGGACTGAAAGGAAGGTTTTATGAGCAGGAATGAGTAGAGCTACATTCACCTGGAGTTCAAAATGTCCCACTTCTCTCTGAAATATCTCCATGCTAAATGTCTTCCCAGTGGATTGCGGGCCACATGTATGATGACATCAATTACATCCTGATCCGGCACCAGGTCTGACGTGAGGGACAGATTCAGGAGCCTGCGAACAACAAAACAATCATGGCCATGATGTGGACTGCAAAAATTTGTACACTCTCAGAAAAAAATGATACAATGTTGTACCAAAGAAGGTATAAAAGCTGGTCACTGGCGCAGTACCTTTTTATGGAACAGAATTGTATCTTAAAACAAAGAAACAAATTTGTACCATTGCAGTTTGTACCTTTTAAAGACATGATTTGTACCATGGAAAACCAAAACGTACCTTTGGTTTTAAAACCTGCAGATACAATATTGTACCTTCATCAATGGTGCAAATGTGATCCATGAAAGTATCACTACAGTGACAAGATACTTTGTACCTTAACAGTGTTAAATGTGTTCCTTCAAAAACTAAAAAGTTTCCTTTTGTGTAAATGCACCTTTGCCATTTGCAATAAAGAATACAAATTATTTTAACATACAGTAAATTAAAAGACCTAAAAGACCTTTTTGCTAAATATTTCACAACTCAATTCACAACAATTTTCTCCAAGTTTCACACAATACCTTTGTAATCACTTCACTTTCAAGTCTTTAATAGAGCTGGTTTATGTCAACTCATCTGTGTCAAACTGTGACCAGAAATATCTATCTTTCATTATGATTCTTTGGCAAAATATGTCTGTAGACAAGTGTGTTTGCACATGTTACTGTCCCGAGAGTTATCAAATATTTGTGGCACATTTAGGGGCCGATCACAGCGAACATGCTTTTCATTTCCAAAAGCGCAAGGCGTGTTCGCTGTGATCGGTCCCTTATGCAGCCAAACTTTAAAAATATATAAAACAATATTTTTTTAATCATTTAACCGATACCAATAATCGGTTACAAACACATCCTTTCGCTTAACAGTTAATCGATTATTTAGAGCACCCCTAATTAAACCGCATGCGCAGGTTCTAAATTTTGACTTCGGCTTAGTCCCTTTATTAATCAGGGGTCACCACATGCTTACCCAGCATATGTTTTACGCAGCGGATGCTCTTCCAGGTGCAGCCCAGTAATAAGAATGTATTTCAACCAGCCATATTGAATTCGATAACGCCATGCTATAAACCCTTAAATAAATGACATACTTCATTAGTTGCCATCTCAAAAACTTTGGCTTAAATATAAAACTTAGCTTATTAATGCCTGCCGCTTGACAAATATGTCTATTAACGTGAACATTACAGCGTCTGTTCTAATTAAGCCGTTCTAATCAATTTTTCAATCAATTTTTAAGCTTGGCTACATCAGAGATATAAAACACATTACTCTTCTGCATTTTTCAGAAAAGACACCCACTGACAGGCCCGGCGAAACACAATTATTCAAATATGACTTCAATACTGTGAGTCAGCGTCTTCAAAAAGTAATTAACCTGAAAAGCCCAAATTGCAAGCAGACAGACCCATTCGCTTCAAATTGGTGCGAAATGTCAAGTAGATGAAAAGGGAAGAAATAGGAAATGAGATGTTACACATAAAGACGCTGCCACGGTGCACAAGTTTTCAATTTGCAAGAACATGCGAGGTAATTTCTACAATGTGGTTTAGTTCAGTTCGGCTTTTGACTTTATGTGCCGTCGAGTAGCAATGTATCATGCACACCCTGGAGATTATTGCCACAGATCCGAGTGCAGACGGCAGCTTCACAGATCGCAAATGTGACATCTTCTGCTTCTTTTGTGGACAAGTGTGAATAAGCTTTCAAAAGAGTTTTGTTAATTGTCAAATCACTTTTTCTAATGGTGGCACTCAGAAATTCTGTTACCTGACTCGTGTGATTGAATCCCAGCAGGTATCTTTGTAAAGGTGTGAAATTGTCTGACACTGTCAACATAGCTTTCTTTTTTTCATTTCTTTTAATGTCACTGTTTGCAGAAGCCTATGAGGGGAAATAAAAGACTGGAAATGCTTTTAAAAATATAGGAACTCAAAATAAATAAATAAATGAACAATTCAGCATTATGTCTTTATAAAATAACACATTCTCCTGGTTTTTCATTTGGTTGTTTGACACTTCTGGAACATCTACGATTAGTTTCTCAAACAATCTTTGCATTGACAAATCTACATTAATCATGATTGCTTTCAATACGGTATTTGCACTTCATCAACATGTTATGTCATTTAACTATTATAAAGCAAATACATTCCTCACTTTAAATTAAATATCTGTAAATTATTTTCATTTTTTTTATTATGTTTTTGAATTTTATTGTGAGACCTAAACTTTCCTTCAATATCTTTTATGTTGCAACGTTTGAAAAAAAGTGACTTTTATTAAAATTTTTAATTGTTTGAATTTCAATAATTTGTAATTTATTGTAAATTATAGTACAAAAACCTGCTAATAAACCGTAAGTTATTTTACATAATAAATTCTCCATATATTATTTCTTATGCAATATATTGCTTCAAACTATCAAATGTCAATAAACGTCATTCTTTTTAAGCTGCACAGCTGAAATTCAACAGAGCAGTGTTCAAGGTCCCATAATGCAATACACAACTATAAATAAATGAATAAAATATAATTACATTTTTTTTTAAAGTTTCAAAATACGCAGCATGTTAATTAACAGATATTTTACACTGCTTAAAATACATAATGCCCCCTGTCAAGGTTGGAAATGTTAATAAATATGGGCAAAAATTCCTAAAACTCATAAAAACAGCCAATTGATTAATTATGAAATGAATCAACCATTTCAATTAATTGTCTGTATGATTGATGAGTCAAGACTTCATTTTTTTAGTTTTAGTCTCCCACTTAAATGATTAATTTGCAAATAATTACAGATAACTTACATTTCCCTTTGCATTATGGATAAATTCTTAACTTCTTTCTTTCTTTCTTTCTTTCTTTCTTTCTTTCTTTCTTTCTTTCTTTCTTTCTTTCTTTCTTTCTTTCTTTCTTTCATCATAAAAATTATGATTAAATAACCCATGGCACTTCTCGTAAAGAGTAGTGGTGTAACCCCAGTGTCCTGGCCAAATGGCCTCCATCAGCCCTTACCGATCATGGCCTCCCAATCATCCCCATCCAGTAAATTGGCTCTAGCACAGTCTCTCTCCACCAATAGCTGGTGTGTGGTGAGCACACTGGCGCCGATGTCCTGTGGCTGCCATTGAATCATCCAAGTGGATTGTGAAGTGCTTTGGGTATATGGCCTTACACAATAAATGCATTATATTAATATACATTACTTACTTACTATAAAGAATTTATGTTTTTTTTTTCAAATTTGAGCTTCCAAAATGCAGCTTAAGTTTACTATTTAAATTTGTTTAATTGTGTGCTTTGAAAACACTGTTTTTTTCCTCAACATTTTTTAACATTTTACAAAACTATTATGTTTTTTTTTTTAAATCTAAGATTGTTGTGTATGCAATCATAATCGACAGAAATCCACCTCTGAGCAGCATTAAACTGTCAACGTAAACACATTTAAATGTGATTTTAGATGCCATTTCTGTACTTTCTCAGCAAATCTAGGTTTTCCATTTACACAGATTTTAACTGAATGGTAAAAACAATTAGTTATTTATGCAGACTTATAAAGTATTCAGGAGAAATCTGGTTTCTCTCATTTATGTATTTATGAACATTTTGTATATTTGAATTATGAATTAATCCAAGGTGATGTGCAAGTTACAGTACTGCGATTGTGATTAGATATGACAGCTGATTAGAACTTTCAGTCTCATTCACTTTCATTCATTTTTAGACGTTAACAACAGCTCGTTACGCTGCTTGATGTTGCAAACTGAACTTTTCTTATTAAATGATTTTGCTTTGTCTGTATAATCATGCAAACACTTGTTTATAGAGCAAGCAGTTTGACTGCTTTCTGCGGTTGATTATTCCTAGTCATTTCTCCTATAGGCAGCTGAATCAAAAGTTCTAAAACAATCGCAAAAACGAGTGCACTTCCCCATTGAAGAATAAGGTCAATAGTATCATAAAAAAATGTTTGGTACCTTATAACACAACATCAAAATAGATTAAGGAGCTGTATGGTGGAGGAATACAATTTACTTCATGTCATAGAAATCAATACTAAACACACTGATCCTTCATTCAAACTGATTGAAGCATGTTTTCAATTTAGCTCCAAACACAGTGACACTTCTCTAGGTAAGATTAAATATCACAAACACACAACTCAAGGGACTTTGCTTGTGCATGATGCGAAATTTAAGTGTGGCTGAAATCAGTGAACTCCAACTCTTAATTCGACACTAGAAAAAAGTGGTTGTCTAAATGCTGCATTTGTGAAATCTTTCAAATGTGTTATGATGATATGAGACTTTAGAACAGATCTGACAGGTAATATGAGGTATTTTAAGTATAAAAACCCATACAAATTCTCTCTCCACAACTATAACTCCTAAGGTGCTACGTGCATGGTGTTTAAAGATGTTAAACATCTTTATTTCAATAAAAATAAAAGTACAGAAAAAACTCTTAGGGGGAAAAACCCATCTTTTTTACAGTTATAAATATAGTTGCACGTTTTTCACACACCAGTGTGGCTATCACATCATACTAATGCATTATAGCACTAGGTGCAATTTTCTAATTGACATACTGTTGCTAGCAATTGTGTTTTTGGAGCCTTGTCTACAACTTCAACACCATAAAGTCACAACGTCTGCTCCTGTGAAATATCATTTGGTAATATTCAGGCGTTTTTTATTGTGCTAAATGAGTTTTCTTGGTCTTTGCTTTCCAGTTTTGTTTAACATTTGCAGACTATGGCCATGTTCAAAATAGTCCCCTTCTTTATAGGAGATGAAAAAACTGCACGTGAAAAAAAATGTACCCTATATTAACCAACAATTTCTGGTGTGAATTTAAATGACACTTTATCATCCCATAGGGTAATGGAATAGGACTTGAGAATTGAAATAAAGTGATAAAACTAATACTGGTAGATCATGTGACAGTAACAACATGAGGAAAGTAGTAGTCTATGTGAAAACCTACAATTTTTAAAAAGGGACTTGCCCTTAACCCATACACTTAATCCTACCCCTAAATGTGATAATCCTTTACAGGATTATCTGTCATTTAGCTGTCTATTTAGCTGTCTATTAGCTAAATCTTTAGCTGTGTATTAGCTAAAACTTTAGCTGTGTATTAGCTATTGGAATAACGATTAGCTGTCATTATTCCATACTGATTGTCAATCAAGACGTGCTAAACACAAGACACACAAACTCATTTGGAGACTGATGTCAACAATCTAATCTGTTCTGAAATGACACCTCAAAGCAAACAATCTGAATAGCATGAATTTCACTCATAACATGCCTTGATAATGAAACAAACAAAAAAACTGTTTTGACATTTACTTGAGATGATTTGAATTTGTTGCACTGATTACTTCATCAGGTTCAGCGCTCCCAAGTTCTTGGTTTAACACTTGTCGTAGCCTAAATCACACTGCAAGAAAGTGTCTGCAACCTTCTGACGCTGCCAGAATTTCATCGGAGAGAAAATCTGATTACAACAGCCATTAATTGGGTGTCAATGAATAAGTCAAACAGACCATACAACTGACCTTAGAATTTTGAGATGCTTTTTTTCCCTAAATTTGTGTGAGATGACCCAATCAAGGCTGGAATTGCAGATTGTAAGCAGGGCTTAAGCTAAAATCCAAGATTGTCTACCACAAGATGTCTTTAAATTCAACTTGAGACCCCTTTTCTACCACTTTACTAGGTTTAGCTCCAGTCATAATCAAGCAGACTTAAACAAGCTAATCAAGGTCAAATAGTATTTAACAAGTCAATGACTGCCAGTTCGTCTGATCAACCACCTAAACAAGCTTGGAATGAGCTAACGGCTATTGATCCTGTCAGCTGGAGCCATTTAAATCCTCCTACCATGAGGAAGCAATCATGATTTTGCCACCCAAGATGCATTTAAGTGTTGCGTAATATGATCTTGTCAAAATACATATAACTATTCCAATTCCAGTTTTTGGGTTTTTGAGTTTTTACTAGTAACCTAGCTATCTCAGGGCAAATCTGAGTCAAAGTTAAGAATGGAAAATCCTAATCAACAATAATCCAGAGCAAGAACATACCTAAAACTCTAAGTCTTGTGATGGATTGAGGTGCACATGGAGTTGACCCAAATCACAGACATTACTTTTGAGCTTGTGAACATAACAACCAGTCAACTTATGACTTGCTCTCTCATTGGCAGGAGCTCGTCATCACATCTGACCTTATGTGGATGTTGAATCAGCTGACCGGTCCAAAATATTTAGCATGCTAGATATTAGATTTTCATCCACGAGGTGACAGTGACATGCAAACAAGTCTCTTTGATGAATCACTGATCACCCACTGATTTTCCTAATTACAGCCTGTTCTGTTGGAAAGTTCTTTAACCAGCAAATCAGACTCAAACTTTATTTTAAATCCTGTTGTGACTGGACATTACTCAACCCTCCTGTGGTTGTGACGTTTACTTAGATTTAATCTTCTTCTTTAGATTTTATCCTTCTGGTATAGATCTTGACTTCCATTCCTCCTCTGCTGTATTACTTTACTTAGATTTGACCTTGTTGTAAAGGCTTGACACAAACTCAAACAAGACCCTTTTTCTGGTGTCCATCTTGACTTAGACGTGATCTTCTTTTGGTCTAGTCTTTGACTCATACTTGACCCTCTTCAGGTCTGAAGCTTGACTTAAACTTGACCCTCCTCTGGTCTCAGTCCACTTATATTTAGCCTCATCCTTGGTCTTGACTCATGGAAACTAGCTGGTCTTGATTACAACACTGTCAATAACTACCACCACTACAACTAGAGAACGTGTAAAATAGATTTAAAACATAATTAGGGAACCTTATTTTAATACCCTTAACATATAAACCAGATCCTACAATCTGACCAGCTGAGAGAAGCTGAGAGAATGTTGATCCAGAAACAGTCAACTTAAAGGACATGGTTACCTACTGTAGGTGAATGCTGGTGGTTCCTGCAGGAGATTTTGAATTCCTGCTTCAGCAGCATGGTTTACTTATACTGTATCTAGGTGTATACTCTAGGTATACTGTGTATTACAGCAGAGTCATGGATCATTGAGAGCTAGAAAGAATCATTGATTTTACCTTCAAGGAAGGCAATTACCAGGATACAAAAAATGAAAAGGATCCTCCTTGACTAGAATATGATGAATAGTATCTAAATATGAAGAAGACGATGCCTGGATGTAGAGCACTGAAATGTGTGGTTGCCAAATGCGAATCTATTTGTCTTCTCCTTCAAGCAAGACATAATCCCTCTCCACAATCCTATGCTGAAGATTCCCACAGGAATCTGCTTGCAGAGAAGGGTCAGAGAGGGTCTCTTTATATGACCAAGTTTCTTTCTCTCTGTGCATCTATAAAACAACCGAATGAAACAGAATAAATACAGAAGTCAACCAGCAGTGAATCCTGAGAGAACCGCTTCAGAATTTGTGTGGGCTGTGAGATCCTCGTCTGGACTGGACAGGGTGTAATCCGTCACCGTTCGCATCCTGCTATTGAGTAAGGAGAGGATTTAAAGCGCCATAGATAGTTGTGGGAAAAGCTCCTACAGCAGCTATTGTCTTTACTGCCCCATAAGAGGAGTGAGAAATTCTGCTAGCGTGAGTGACATGATGTGAAGAAAAGGATTGAAACAGATGCCTCATGAGGAACAGTAAACTAACAAGTGAGAGGAGTGTTGTACATGCTCCAAGCACCTCTTGCCAATACAATGGCATAAAGACTCATGAAAAGAGGCAATCAATCTTCAGGTTAATGAATGGCACAGAGATCATTTGGAAGAGTTGTTTGGTTTATCCATCTAATTCATTTAGTCACCACAGAAGCTTGATATTTGCCATCATGTCTTTGTAAACGATGTAAGATCCTCAACTGACCTGTTAAGCAGGAAGATGTTGTCACTGCAGGTCAAGGCCTCCAAAAGAACCTTCTTCTCAGAGACGGCTGTAGACGAGTGAAACTTCATCCAGATAAATTCCCACACATCCTCATCCATCAGAGAAACACCCGTGCAGTACACAATGTCCCGGACGTTGGGTGGAATCCTGCGAGACAGAAGATTGAATAACTGAGTGAAGACAAGAGCTGAAAACAGATTTATAGTTAGACACATTTAGAGGTAAAAATCAAAGTAGATCCAACTGTATTTTCTTTCACACAAATATATTAGAGTGGAGGGGGAAATGTGGATACATTGTTTGGTTTAGGTGATTAGCATTCCTCATTGTCTGTTCAATAAAATTTAACTGAGGTTTGCAATAGATCTACATGTTTTAGATTGCATTGTGTTCACACCGAATTCTAATTTATGTTCCTGGGAATTAGCTTTTCCTAAAGACATGCTTCTTTCACAGAAGGAATCTGTGAAATCCCAAGGGTTGCTTAAAGATGGCAAGTCACAAGTCAATCTTTCACCTCCAGAAGAATCAATGTAAAACAGTGTAAGTGTATGTCAGCATGTTTTTATTAGTGAGAAGCTGTGCTTTCTTTTGCTGTTTCTTCTTTTGACTTAAAATGTTTCTGCTGACAATATAATGAAAAAGAGAAACTTTTAGATAAAAAAAATTGACCACTTTGGCTCAAGTGGCTTTCTGCTGTCTGCAATCACTTTGAATCACTTGAATTCTGTCACAATGACAAATGTCCATAATAACACAAGCAGATCTAATGTGAAGATCTCCGCAAGATTACAAATTGTGTGGTGAAAATATGACCCAAATTTTCACTCCAGACCTTCAAAAGTAACTCATAGTGCAATATATATATTCTGGCGATATATCGGTCATAACAAAGAGCTCTCTTAGGACCCATGATATCATCTGGTTATAAATCTGAGAAAAGAATAGCAGAGTATAGTGGAGCTACACGGAGAGAAAAGCATCTCAGGCTGTGAGGCGATGCATGTAATATTCGTACAGAAAGAAATAACATTAAACCTCAGGAGAAGCTGCGCTGATACAGTGACTGAACTTTTGATTTGCTCAAACAAACTGAAATAAAGACCTGCTGATTCTGGATGAGCCGTCTGAGCCGCTGGGAGTTTCCAATGTAGCGAAACCAACAACGGCACCTTCAGTTAGATATGAAATCATATCACATCCAATTGGAGTGTATAGACTGAAATCTTCACACCTGTAAAGGTAATGTCTTGTTTATGACTGCCAATGGCAGGATGTTATGATTTCCCAAGCATAGTTAGAGAATAATATTTGCGACTTCCCGTTAGCTGCCATTATATCTGGAAAATTCCTGAATTATAATATGCTCAGCAAGCGAATGGGAGATAAAACGAGTCATAAATCTAGTTTTTACTTCTGATGTTGTAACCTGAATATAAATATATGGTTTCTGCTTTAAACTAAATGTCAATATTCCTGACTTTCACAAAGGAAAAAAGGCTGAATTTATACGATTTCCATAAACAAGCAGCTTTAAAGTATGATATGCAGTGAAATAAATATTTAAAATGATTGTCTGGCTTTGGTGAGTTTGAACTGATGGGCTGTAGTAATATGTTATTTTTCAGAAAATCACTAATATTTCATGAATTAGTCTAAAATAGATCATTTAATATAATATAACTTCAATCACTGGAAATTTTTTAACTCCATGATATTCCAGAAACTCCATGGCCCATGGGCACACTATTAAGAAAACACTATTAAGAGATCCTTAAAAATGTGAGACACTTTTGCTCATGTTTAAAGTTTGAGTATTTTATAAAGTGCCTTGTTTAAAACAGTTTTAAATTGTTATTAAGCTTGAGCTGTTTCTGCTCTCTTTACAGTAGGTCTTGTTTCCTATGTTCATTCAGTTTTCTAATCAACAAAACTCAAGGAGGTTTTCTCAGCATTTGACTTTTGCTGTACAGTGATCTGAAGCCTCTCTCTGCAGCTCATAAACTCTGCTGGGTCATTCCTGTGACATTATCATCACCTTAACCATAAAAAGACATAAAGGTCAAACACATTGCTCTTTTATGATGTGCTCAATCCTGAATATCAAACTGAACTGCTTCTTTTTATTATCCCAGCAGGACTAGAGGTCATTGGTGAAGAAAGGACACTGAAGGACACATCTGGCAGACCCGAACTTCAGCTGGCGGGTCAGAGGCAAACAGCACCATTTGAAAAACTATTAAAAACAGTCCATAAAATGCAAAAAGTAGCCCAACTTTTGAAAAAAGCATAAGTATCAAAAGGATGACATAACTAGTAACATAAAAATCTGCATAAGAAAAGCTGCACTTCTTGTAGAAGAGATTTCTCCCATCTGCTAATTTTGACATTTGTACACAAGTGACTAACGCAATATTAACTAGTGTCTGCCAAATGCCTTAAAAGTAAAACATTTTTTAGCAGATCGGACTAACCTGTGCATGTAATGACACATCTGACCAATCCAGGCTAATGACAATATATTACAATACATTTTTGCGAAACGTAAAATACATTCCTCCAGGTACGTTTCATTGCATGTTTCAAATGACAAATCCACTAGAGGGAGCAGTCTACATTTTAGTCAATCTGAAATACGTTACTTAGGGTATGTTTTGATGACTGTTTCAGATACACATCCTTCTGGTACACATTCACAAGAAGGTAGAGCTTGTCATACAAATCTCTGGCAAATCCCTTCCCAAAACCCAACCAACAGTGTTTTCCAAGCAAGAGAAAAGAGAAAAGTGCACTGTCTGCGACCACATAGGTTTATCCTAATTTTACATAACTTTTGTGAAAACATGCTTCACTGGACTTGAACCAGTGGGTTAGACACTAGTTAAGGTGCTTTGTGGAATACATTTTGGTTGAAGTGCATGAAAAAAAATCTATTATTTGTTGATAATATGTCCCTGTAAATATCATTCATTAGTGTTAAAAGAAACAAATGCTGTTGTCATCATAATGCCCCATAGAAAGGCATGGGACGATAATAGCTTTCAAGGTTTACGGCGGTTTGGAAAAGTCAAGGTTAAAAACCACCAAAAATATTCTGTTATACCATTCCTAGGGTATATGTTTTGTTTTTTTATGTGTTTTTTTCTGACATGTTCACTGTTTCAAAAAAAAATAAAAAATAAAAAATAATATATATATATATATATATATATATATATATATATATATATATATATATATATATATATATATATATATATATATATATATATATATATATATTTTATGTGTTTCTTAAAATAAAATTTATTGTGTTCAATGGGTTTAAAAAACATTTTAGAGCAGTAATCACAATACAGTGGTAGAGTGAAACCATGATATTTTTATCCAAAGGTTATCATACCGAAGTACATTTTTTGCAATTTCACAAAAATGTCGACTAAAGCACCTACAGTATTTCCAATGAGCTTGTGTTATATTTAACAGGAGATGTTGTGTTCAATACAGAGACATCTGTCTATTTAGATGCAACCAGAAACCTCACACTAGTCTCCACAGGGTAATAATTACAGAGCCACTGCTAGAGCAATTGAGCAGTTTAAGGTCAAAAGAGTGTAAAATCTTCAACTGAGAAGGTAAATGCAGTTGAATGAGTGTGTTTTTTTTTTTTTTTTTTTTACATTGAAATCAATAATATAAGCAAAACCAACTTTAAGTATAGCATCCCACTGCTATCAGAGAAGCTCAGGTCATGTATGTGACCTCAACAGAGCATTAAATACACATTAAATGAAGCCAAGGTCAATATGCGATACATAATATGAGTAAAACAGCATCTGTGTGTCTATCTGTTGATTTTAGGGCATGATTATGTAGCAAGCAAGCACATTTCCAACGCGCTTGAGGTTGCCAATGTGAATAAAATGAACTGTGTGTGTGGCCTTTCATGTATTTATAGGCATGCGGCCAATAGTTTGGCTGAGGGACAAAAAAATATTCCTTAAAACTGAGCAAACACAATATCTTGTGCAGGCTAACATGATTTCTTCAGATACACAAACAGACACCCACAATGGTGTTTATTTTCCATTATGGTCATTAGTCCCTGCCGGTGGCCTGGGGTTTTTGCCAGTGTGATATTGCATACAGTACATGCTTGTGAACATTGCTGTAGGCAGCAGGGGAAACAAATTAGATGAACAAATGCGTGTTGCCATGGACACCTGGCACAGAAATAATGCTGTGTGAATGTTAGGAGGGTTGATGAGTAGAATATATTGATCAGTCCTCAAAGTGTCCACATGCACCACACTCAATCCATTCTGTGCTCAGATATGTAACGTAGTGTGTTTGACAAAATAGAAAATGACTTCAGAAACTTTTTACAGGTTAAAAAGCTAATGCTTAATTGAGGCAGACAATACCAGGTCTTGTAAAGGACTGTGCTTGTGTACTAAATCGCAAATGTAAGCTAAGCAATAGGCTAAATACACCAAACATTTCAACAAACAAGAAATACAAACATGAACATATGAAGAGTTCAGATGCAAAAACCTCTAAATGCCATCTGAAATGTCCTCCTAAAATGAGCATTTTCTCAGCCTTCTATCTTTATGTACTTTAAAAGGCAATAACAAATAACTCTATAATAATAATTATTCACTATAACAGTAAAATGACTGAGTCCACACACAGTTGAAAAAAAATGCTACTTTTAGAAGAAAATATTAAACAGCATTTAAGGGTTTTTGCATCTAAACTCTTTATATATATACAGACACACATTTTCATTCTTATGCAATATAGTGAAAAGTGCAATGTGACCACTCACTTAAACTGCGTAGATTCAGAGAATTAAAGAGTTGATGATTTAATCCATGATTTAAACTAATTTATTTGTAAAGGACTTCAGCTCACCTGTTCTTGTTGCTGGAAATCCAGTCTGAAATGAGAGAAACAGCCTGGCGGTGACAGTGTTTGTTTCCAAAACTGCAGGCCAGCATGATCACCTCTCTCTGCAGCTCTCTAAGGAGGAAAGAGGGCCGGAAACCAGCAGGAAAGTACAGGAGCAGGAAGGGGAAAATTAAAAATTAAATACACGTCTGCTGAGGTCATTCCCTCTCTTTGAGGTGGAAAATGTATGGCTTACACTTTGCAATCCAGTGTCCTTACTTCAACTACATATACGTATATAACAGCAATATATAATTCAGGAAAGATGAAATGCAGGACTTACTCTGTCTGATAAGCTGAATGCATGAAGGAGCCGTCAGGGGAAGTGGCTGGCCAGCCGAGCTTGTGATACTTTGGTTCCACTTGTCTTAGGACGTAATCCTGAGGAATGAATTAAAGCAAACTATTAAAACTAGACAAAACTAAACAATCAGCAAACATTTCAAGCCAAGCAAACATAAAATAAAAACTCAAAACCAATCCAAACAAAAGTGCAAAACGGAAAACAGGAATGTAATTAAAGCAAAGCAAAAGGAAAAAAGGAACATAACAAAACACAAAGTAAAACCAAACAAATGCACAAAATCCTGCCAATAAAGAAAGCAAAACAAAACAAACCATTAAAACAAAATAAATACAATAAAAATCCTAAGAAAAAAAATAATAAACCAAAAAACCATTAGCTTTTCAACCTGTAAAAAACAAAACAAAGCAAAACAAAGACAAAACAAAGCTAGAAAACCACAAATTTAAATAAACAATTTAAAATCAAAATCAAACGAAAAGCAGAACATGAGTGAGTATGGTCACCAAGTTAAGACCGGGATTTTTATGTAAATGTGTTTTTAATTTGTAAATGTATAAAGCTCACTATATCACAAGACCATTTATAAAAAGTAAGCAGCAAAAATGGGTCACTTAGAAATGTTTAAAATTTAATGAATTAGCTTTCATTTACATATGTAACCACCTGGCCAAATAATTATTCAAGATTTAAGTAAAGAAGCTCCCGAGATCTATCGTTGCTTAATCAGCATTTACAAGTATTACTGTAGTAGGTTGGTATGGCTTTAAGGCTTTATTGACCTAAAAATCTTTTTTGCTTAAAGGGATAGTTCATCCAAAAATGAAAATTCTGTCATTATTGACTCAGTCTTTCATCAGTTACAAACCTGTTTGACGAAGATATTTTTAAGACTGTTGTACACAAGTAATCATTGACTTAGTATTTGTTTTCAGCTCTCTTCACAATTATCTACTTTTGTGTTCTACAGAACAAAAGAAGCTCATAAAGGTCTAGGATAGACAAATAGTGAGTAAAAAGTGAGTAAAATTTCATTTTTGGTATAAATATCCCTTTCGTTTTTTCAGTTCAGTGCCTCAAACTCAGACAATCACAAGTAAAAACACGAGAGATGCTTTAAATGAGAAATGAAATGTATAACTGAAATCATAACAGCTAAACGAATACAACCCCATTTTTAGTAAAGTTAAGAAATTGTGTAAAATATATCTTTGATTTCTGAGATCTCTCTAACTTTGAACAGCTGTAAATTTGCATCATGTTAGATGGTTTCAAAATGTTTATAAAATGCTAAAATTTTAACAATAGTCATCCTCAATTCCCAACGAAAAAATATTGACATCAAAATAAAAGTTAATAAACATGCCTCTTCAAATTTATTTTTAGAGTGTGTTGCAGCCATCACAATCAACATTTGTTAATATTTACTGAATAAAATGTAATGCCATTTTAGGGAAACAAACACTATTGAAGGCATTGGTTACCACCAGTTTGTTTTTTATCATTCTTTAAAATATCTTCCTTTGTGTTCAACAGAAACTTGCAAGTAAAACAGGTTTGGAACAAATGGGGAAAAACTGAAAGATTTTCTTTTTAGGTTTTGAGTGAGCTGTCCCTTTAAGAAAAAAATGACAAAGCAAATATTTTGCAAGAGTGTGTGCTAGCATGAAGCATAAAACATATGCCAGCCTAGTTAATGGTTTATTTTACTGTAGCGACCCCGATAAAGCAGGGACTAAGCCAAAGGATACTGAGTGATTGCTAACAGCAGGCATTCTCAAATGTGTTGGTCCACTTTCCTCCAGACTTTAACTGTATATCTAATCAAACACCTAAAGAAGCTACTCAAGGTCTGCGATAACACTAGAAAGTTACAGACAAGTGAGTTTGATCAAGGCTGGAGCTAAACTCTTGAGGAAAGTGCATCTCAAGGACCACAGTTGAGAAACTCTGTCTAAAAGTAAACCACTGCAAAGGTATTTTAAAATTTGTTTCACCACTAAAGCAAAGAGCAAACGAAAGAACTTTGCCATATCAGGACCCTAGTGTGGGTTTGTGTGTTTGTGTGTCTGTGTTTTGACTCTCCATATGGTGAAGGGAAATGTCGCAGCAGGTAATGTCATGGCTAATTTAGCATGACTGCTCTCCTTCATGCCCTCTTACCGAGACTAGTGAATGATCACAATTAGAGCCTGCTATGCAGCAATTCAATTCTTAACACATTCTTAAACATATGCAAACACATGCAGGTAGTTTATATATATATATATATATATATATATATATATATATTGTGGTAACTGTAAGGGGGCACGGTGGCTCAATGGTTAGCACTGTGACCTCACTGCATAAAGGTCACTGGTTTGAGTCCCAGCTGGGCCAGTTGGCATTTCTGTGTGGAGTTTGCATGGACTTCTCATGTTGCCGTGATTTTCCTCCAAGTGCTCTGGTTTCCCCCACAGTTCAAAGCAATGAAATATAGATGAACTGAATAAACTAAATTGTCTGTAGTTTATGACTGTGTGAATGAGTGTGTATAAGTGTTTCCCAACACTTTATTGTGGCTGGAAGGGCATTCGCTGGTCTCAAGGATAGATAAATAGGCTCTTCACAATGAACATGAGCAAATACGGTAATCTCAGATTACTCAATTCCATACTTAAGTATCGTGATTTATAGATCCAAGATCTGTCAAATAATCTCAGATACTTTAAGAGCGATACAAGGAACAGTTGCTAACACACACACTCGCAAACAGGTTTGGACTGACACCTGGTCACATGATTTGAAGACACCTGACTTCAACTTTTGCTCCAACTGCTTCCTGTCTTGAGTTACATCTTGAACATCTGCTGCATATCACAGTGAACATGGTGGAGAAGTGCTACTGAGACACTTTTAAATTCATCACACATTCACTGTGGACACTAAAGGCTCATCCATTGCAGAGCAGGGGAAGGAATGAGTCACCCACACCAAAGGATTGTGGGTAGGTGTGCGAATGATGCTCTGAATAACAAAGTGCTGAATATGAAAACAGGTAAGACCCAAGCTAGGGAAACAGTCTGTTCAGAATAAAAAACGGTCACACTTTATTTTGATGGTCTGTTTGTTGAATTTAAGTTACATTGCATCTACATCCCAACTTATTAGATTAGAAGTGGAGAGTCAGGGTTAGTGTCAGTTGACATGTACTTGCAAAGTTTGTTATAGTCAGTTAAATGTCTGCTTAGCAGTAGTATCAACAAATGTACTAACACTCAAATGGGCCATCAAAATAAAGGGTTCCCTAAAATGCTAGCATTTAACTTATAAACATAACTTATGAACATTTGTCAGTCTAATCAAATAATGTAAAATATTCATTCATTCATTTTCTTGTCGGCTTAGTCCCTTTATTAATCTGGGGTCGCCACAGCGGAATGAACCACCAACTTATTCAGCAAGTTTTTATGCAGCGGATGCCCTTCCAGCTGCAACCCATCTCTGGGAAACATCCACCCACACATTCACACACACTACGGACAATTTAGCCTACCCAATTCACCTGTACCACATGTCTTTGGACTGTGGGGGAAACCGGAGCACCCGGAGGAAACCCACGCAAAGGCAGGGAGAACATGCAAACTCCACACAGAAACGCCAACTGAGCCGAGGTTTGAACCAGCGACCTTCTTGCTGTGAGGCGACAGCACTACCTACTGCGCCACTGCCTCGCCTTTTATTTGTGACAATGGAAATGCAAGGTTAATGAAAGGTGCTCTGCACTGTGGGAAAAAAAATGTTTTTACTGTTATAAATGACCATAGATCAAAGATGATTAATACACTTAAAAGGTTGTTTACTACAAAAATGTATGCAATTTGCATAACATGATACTATTCTGACCTTAGAACACAATCAATGCAGCAGATCTTATTCTTTTTATGTTTGTATGAGGTAAAAGTTTAAACTGGCATCTCTGATAGCAGAATTTTATCATTGATTTTTCTTCAGGTTTGCACCCTGAAATAATGTTATTTTAATGATTAAATCAATACATCAAGGTGAAAAAAAATCTATATTTGTTCAACCGAAATTGAATTACTTATTTTGAGATCTATCCAGTCCTTTTTAATATGTATAGCTGCATATAGTCTATGATCTATTGTATAATGAACGGAGAGTTTTCTATATCTAGAATAATCATGTAAAATCATACCCCTTTTTTGTCTCTTATAATCAGAGAAGTACATAATTAAAAGGGTAAAAAGAATATAGGAAAAAATAAACAACCACTCCATAGCCATCTTATTAATGTTTTTGTGAAAATGTTTCATGGTGATCCATGTTTGTTAAGACATTCTGTCATAATTTACTCACCCATCAGTGGTTCAAAATTATTTGAGTTTTAAGAAAAAACTATAGTTTGCAGAAGGCTGGTAGCTGGTACCCCTTGACTTCTATAGTATTTTTTTTTCCTACTATGGAAGTCGATGGGTCCCAGAAACAGAAATTCTTGAAATATCTTCTTTTGTCTTCAACTCATAAAGATTTAAATCCACACAAGGGAGCATAAATGATGAAGTAATTTTAATTTTTGGGTGGACAACCCCTTTAAAACAACACTAACTAACTAACTAACTAACTAACTAACTAACTAACTAACTAACTAACTAACTAACTAACTAACTAACTAACTAACTAACTAACTAACTAACTAACTAACTAAATAAATAAATAAATAACTAAAAAAACTAACTAACTAACTAACTAACTAACTAACTAACTAACTAACTAACTAACTAACTAACTAAATAAATAAATAAATAACTAAAAAAACTAACTAACTAACTAACTAACTAACTAACTAACTAACTAACTAACTAACTAACTAACTAACTAACTAACTAACTAACTAACTAACTAACTAACTAACCAACTAAATAAATAAATAAATAAAAAAAAAAATAAAAAAATAACTAACTAACTAATTAACTAAATAAATAAATAAATAAATAAATAATGTAAAAAAAGTTAACACTTATAACCAAAATGTGAACTTTAAATAAAACATTTTTCAATAAGCCATGAACCTCCAAACCTCAGTCAATCCCAATGAAAACTTATTTTGGTCCCACTTTTTATTAAATGGCCTTAACTACTAAGAACTTACTTAAAAGTACAATGTAGTTACTGTTCATATTGTATTGGACAACATTTTTGCTGATATAATGAGGTGGGATGGGTGGGGTTAAGGCTTGGTTAAGATGTAAGTGATTGGCCATAGGTTGTTATTATTATAGCGTCAGTAATATTTAGCTTCTGAAGGATTTTTGTTGTTGTTGTTGTTGTTGTTGCACCTGCAGGGAATAATGTGTCTTATAATCAAACTAAATAAATAAATAATGTAAAAAAAAAGTTACAGATGAATACCATAATGTGGACTTTAAATGAAACATTTTCAATAAGCCATCAACATCAAAACCTCAGTCAATCTCGATGAGAACTTATTTTAGTCCCACTTTATATTAAGTGGCCCTAACTACTAGGTACTGACTTAAAAACTACAATGTAATTACTGTTCATATTGTATTGGACAACACTTTTACTGATATAATGAGTTGAGATACTGGTCAGGTTTGGTGGGATGGCTTAAGATGTAAGTGATTGGTCAACAGTGTAATTAATAATGTAATTAATTGCAGGTATTTATTATGTTAATATAAGTTCAACGCAAAAAAAGTGTATGTACATGAAAGTGCATTTACCCATTTAGTAAGTTAATTAGACAGTAATTGAAGCCACTTAATTATATAAAGCTGGACCAAACTATTATAAAGATGACAGAATTAAACTTGAAATGCTTAATAAGAAGTAAGTTGAACAAATATATTTTGATCTAGTTTTCATCAATGAAAGGACACTATTCAAGGGTGCAAACCTGTTGAAAAGTGTGCCATCTTTAAAACATTTCATTGTCGATTCAATATTGATTCAGTGCTGGTCTGCCTTCAGGGATTGTATCTGGACCTGAGATGATCAGAGAAAGTTTGTTCTGTCTGTCTGGCGGTGAGTCGAGTCATTCGAGACATGCTGCTAGATATCAATTGTGTCTGTCATCACACTAGACAAGGCTAAAACACCACATTCATCAAACTGATGTGAGGTTAGACTCACGCTGAACAGGCTGTGGTCTAAAGTGCGGTCCAGGAGTTTGTCCAGCTGGTAAAGCGCTCGACTAGCAGCGTGCCAGGGTAGAAACTCGGGCTCCTGAGACAAATAGGAGATCATCTGCAGGGGGACGTTTTGAGGCAAATAGCCAGCTCTGGAAGAAAAGAAAGAGGAAAAAGACACATTTTTACTCATATTCCCCCTTTGGTACACACATCGTTAACAATTGATTACAAACAGTTCATTTTGTTCATCATTATTCATTTGGAATAACTGCCAGGCATTGTGCTTTGCGTGGGGAGACATAATGTGCTGAAAGACACCAAAAAAACATCTTCTCCTGTACGGCTACAGTCATGTTCAATTTGCATATATCCATAAAACATAAGCTCTCTTCTAAAAGCTTCAAATGTCTTTGCTATTTTCCCTTCGGTCTTTTTAGAAACGCCTACAACCCTCCCATGAGAGCGGGAAAACAGAGAGGTGGCCATTATCCTTAGACCGAAACACCATAAAGACAAGACTTTCCATGAGTCCTTGAATCTAAACAACTTAGCAAACATAGTGTCACTATTAGGCAAAGTTATGGCTCTGGAACTGAATAGCATTGCCGGTGGCATCTTTTTAAAGGGTTGTGATGTATAATTTATGTATGCTATACAGTTTAATGGTTATTAGAGGGTTTTGCTGTTAATTTAGCAAAATGCTAATGTCAACTCTACTGAAAACAACTGTCAGTGTGGTGCAAATGAGTAGCACAATGATATGTTGGTTCTTATGCATTTTTCCTGAGTGAAACATCCACCGAGTGATGTTTACAGTAATAATAATAATAATAATAATAATGATAATAATACCTTTTATTTATAGGTGCCTTTCAAAGCACTCAAGGACACCTTACAGTATGTCACAGGCACATTATAAAAACAAGACAGAAGAGTAATAATACATAGTATTAATCCAGAAAATAATTAAATGCAATCCTAAACAGAAAGGTTTTAACCTGGGATATAAAATTGAAGATAAAGTCCACCTGACGAATTTCTAACGGCAGGGAATTCCGTGGTGCTATGCAGCCAAAAGCCCTGCCACCAGATGTTTTCATCCTAAAATTTGGAACTGACAACAGTTCAGCTGCAGAAGATCTCAGTGAGCACCGAGGAGTGTACAGTATGTTTGGTTTTATCTGAAGAGCTTTATCTTGCACAGAAAGTACACAAGCGAGAACTTTTAGAAAATGCTTTATATAGACAAAGACATCCCGCTATGATTGCAGGGAAAAAATTGCACTTAGAAAATGGTTTGACTTATCAAACTCAATAGTATATTTATCTGTATAATGGATAGTTCATCCAAACATGAAAATCAACTCAACGTTTTATATATATATATCGTCTCTCAATATTCTGTTTTGTGTATTTCCCCCTGATGTACACTTATGATGTACATGCATTGCACAAGCTCACCGGAAAACCAAAGTCCACTCAAAGAAGGTGCAGACAGGTGCAGACTTTTTTTTTCTTAGAGTTAGTACCTCTTAACTAAAATCGGATTTTGTTATGTATTTTTTAGAATGAGTATAATGTAATTTCTGGCTTTAATTAAAAAATTTTTTTCCAGCATTAGTGTATTTAATACATACAATAAATAAGAGTTTTTTTTTTTTTTTTTTTTTTTATCTGCCAAGTGCATCCAAACATGTTGGTTTTGGCCCAAAACTTTTATTTTTGGTGCATCTCTTGTAAAAGTATGTAGTATGTTTATATTAATGTAAATTGTTTTACATTTACACAGTGCTAAGATAAAACAACTGACATTATTTTAAGTATAATATTAAACTTTAATAAATGTAATTTCTCTATTTTGTTGTAGTGTGATACATTGGCCACAAGTTGCAAGCACCTGTACAACTTGCAAACGAATACAGTGTCAGTGTGTAACTATGAGTTCTTTTTTTTTAATTGTTATATTTTCATTTCTTTCATTTTCATTTATTTCTTATTTAATTTAATTTTTTTTGCTTTTTTTATTTTTTAAAACACATTCATATAATACATTATAAATGCACCTACTTTTAGTTTATTAGAAACACACAATTCCATATAGTTTAATACACAATAATACATTGTTTATTAACAGTCTAACAAGGTGCAGCATTTTTTCCTCATTTTTTATTATTTATTTATTTATTTATTTATATTAAAAGAAACAAAGAAATAATCAAACCACAAAATTCACAAATAATGCATTAAAGAGCTGCAAATCGTTTAGGTTTCAAAATGTGTCATTACTAATAAATAGTCTAATGAAATGGCAGAACTTTTAACATTTGTGAAGATCTGCAATTATGTATGACGAAGCAGGTTTTTTCAATGAGCCTAAGCTGTCAATTTCATGCAGGGCACATAAGAGCTCCAAATTGGAGGTCGGGCAAAAACAGGAAGTGATCAGACTTGAAAACGGACTCATTAAATTCCCGAGGACAGATTCACCCAACGCACATTTAATTGGGACATTAATCACAGTTACTCACAGACACCCACTCCTACCCAAGGAGGTTTTTAACATTTGCAGAGAAACTGATTTGCATTAACACTAGCAGTAGACAATTGAGGATGTGAAGAATCAAAAGCTATATCCATTAAAAAAAAAAAAAGTTTCAATTGTGCTTATAGCATCAAGCAATAGTGAATTTATACCATCAAACTATGAATAGTTTTAGCTCAAAGTGTTCAGAGAGGTCTAATTAAGATCATGAACCCTGCTCCTCTTCCTTTGAACAGCCTGTTAATATATTAGAAGAGAACAGAGAGTCTTCGAACTGCCTTTAATATTTTAAGTTCAGGGAACAATGGGCTTTAAAGTTTTAATATAAATGATTTTTCCTATGCATGATAATAGAAAAGTACTGAAAGATTTTTGCTCACTTTTACTTTTACATATTCAAAAATGAGAGCTCAGAAAGCTTTACAGAGACTAAAATATTTGTAAAATGTATAGATATATTAAAATCAGATGTAATGTTGTTGAACAGTTTTAAAAATGCAAACCTTTAACACCTCTGGCATGCGTTATTTTTAAATAATTCAAAGTTATGGAGTCAATAATTCACATATCCATGTGTTTATTTAAAAACATGTTTGAAATTTAATTTGAAGTCTGTAAACGACTTTCCTTTGACATTGATTATGCAACTACTTCAAACCCGTCGCGTACACCAAACAGAATGAAGAATTAAACTGCGGTCTAATGAGCAATAATTGTATTAAAATAAACAATTAATCAGTCTGTAATGATGCTGTGGCACACTCATTGGCTTTCATTCAGTCAGTCTAATTACATGGAAATATCCAATGCATATTCTTATGATTGATGTGTGCACAAAACCTGAAGAACGGCGTTTTAACACTCGAGTATAATCATATCACATATGCGTTAATTATGTTGTGTTGCTCATCAAACTCCAGGGCTTAAATAGCACATTAATTGTTTCACCTGTCACGTCATATTAAAGATGAAGAGTGATGGCCAATGGTTCCCACAAATCATATCTCTTAATATGGGTAAATTGACCTCTAGAATGTGGCTTAGAGTGTCGTGTGCAGGAATAGGCCAGGAAGATGAGGACAGAAGCATATTTTCTTAGGTGTTTGAATAACAAAAATAAAAAAAGGCAAATACAACTCAAAACATAGACATAGGTGAAATTGTTAAAGCTTATTTTCTAACTTACAACTTACACAAAACACACTGGGAAAAAAAAAAAAAAAAAACATTAAAAACTAAACAAGGGCCAGGTGAACATAATCAGTAACTATTAGGAGTGTGGCCAGATATTGTGTGACGAGATCTTGCAAGAATTAATCGTGACAAGATTTCTCATCGAGGTGAAAAGTTGTCTCGTGAGTTGTGATGTTACGATGAAGCATGAGAATGAAATTAGCATTAAAGACTTGGGGAGGGGTTGGATTTGAACCACACATCAAGTACTTTGCACACACCTGGCAACCCAGGCTGGCCTCTGTGTAGCACGCGTCATTTAACAGCTGTGCCTCCAAGCAGTGGCTACAACTGCAGCCACACAAATTAATCATTGTTCATAACCAAGTGATGGAATAAAATAGAATTAAGACATGTGGAGTATTCCTAGTCAACTCATTGAAGTGCAGTACAGACCTGTAAACGCCATAATCTACTCTCACTGTAAATTATTACTATCATGTAGGACTTTTAGCTGTATTTTGCAACATGATAGTCCATACACACATAACTAATCTCTGCACCTATCCAGTCAGTAAAAGACCACAGACACACATAGTGAACTTCTGGAGACTAGAGACACATGCCTTCTTCCTCACCGAAGACAGGTTTATGCTATGTATACGGTATAAAATTCAATTAAAACTATCAGCTGCAGTAGCTCAAAGTTTGTCACGAGGGCATGAAATGTTGCTGAATTAAAGTGAAACTGTTGAAAATTAAATACCAAACATTACATTAATTAATTAAATATATATACATACATATATATATATATATATATATATATATATATATATATATATATATATATATATATATATATATATATATATATTCAATTTGATTTAATTTGTGGAAAAGAGTTATAGGAGAAAAGCCAGCCAGTAGAGTTTATAGCTAAATATTCTGCTGCGTTTGCATGTACTTTACTCCATAGAATTCATTAAAATATAAGTAAAATGCCATTCCTTTCAAGTTGATATCAAAAAGCATACAACTTAATTTGCACTTTTAAACTTTTTTAGTTTAATAAAGATCTATTTTCTATTCATTTTTAGCAAACCTTTTGCTAATATTTAAAATTACAAATAAAAGACTACTTTACATTCATATATATTAGCAAAAAAAGTGTATTTTGCAGTGTTTTACTGCATAGAATTCATTCAAATAGAAGTAAAATAGAATTTACAACAACTTGATTTTTAAATTGAATAAAAGAAAAATTTGAGAATATTAAATTTGAGAATAAAAGACTATTCATGTATTATATTATTGAGGATCAATGAAGATTTTGTAAAAATCGTGTAAGAATCTCGTCTCCCTCATTCTCATGAACCAAATCTTGTGTTTCATCTTGTCTTTTCGAGTAAGTGGTTTGTCACATCCCTAGTA